AAACGACAATTTTCTCGTGTTTTTTCAGTCTTTTCAGTTTATCGTGGATTTCTCGACAACCCCTTAAGATAATTTCATCAACGACCACTCGTATGAAAGCTGAATGTCTCAGCTTTCCAACAACGACGTTTCTTTTTCACTCTTTTCAGTTTATATTTTTTTTTTAAATATATTTGAATATTTTATTTAACAATTTTTTTCAATTTCAATTTTTAATTTAATCGATTACTACACGTGCTAATTAAACAAATAATATGCATTATCATTATCTTTATTTAAAAAAGTTGCGTAAGGGTGGCATCCATCTTACGCAATCATGAAATGCAATAAGAATTAAGAAAAAAACGTGAAAACTAGTCGGATCTCAACGAAACAGCGATTTTTAAGAAAATCCTATTCACTTTTTTTTTCCAATTTCTATAACTCGTAGCAGGTGACTCCACGTAAAATATTTGGGTGGTCGCATAAAATTAATGACAAATGGTTGCTTTTCTACACATACCCATTCTTCGGGGGTCGCAGAAACTTTTCATGTACAAATGGGGTTCGCGGACCAAAGTTTGAGAATCACTGTTGTGAATAACTGTTAATGATAAATAAGCAATTTCTAACAAAAAATAATAATAATATATATGTTTACTAATAGAATCAAGTGTATTAGACGATTTTGAACACGAGCTCTGTTTCCTTCTTGTAGTATTCAATTACATATTTGTATTAACAGTATATCAGGTGAAAAAGGTGTCATCGTCAAAACTATCTAATTATAATTTTTTATGATAGGAAAGAAAACAACAAAATCTATTAATATTTTTTATTTTTTATATATATAAAAAAAAGAAAGTATATATAACAAAGGGTACCAAAAAGTAATATCATATTCATATATATATTTATATAGAAAGAAAAGAACTCTAACGAAATTATTTAACAAACTAATATTTTTTTCTTCATTTAATGTAATATTTTTGTTTGTTAATAATTTAATATCACAAATTTTGTTAGACTATACATGTATAATAAATATTGCACGAGATTTGTTTCCTTTTTAAATGATCTTATGGTTTAGTGTTTTGTCAATAAATATTAAAAGAGACTGTGAAACCCTTCACTCGTTGTTTTTATTCGTAAATATATTTTTTTTGTATGTGTTTAACTTTGCTGTGTGATCAGTCAAATTTGTCCAATGCGTCGCAAGACCTCGATTTAACATCCCTGGGGAAAATTAAGAAAATGAATTAATAACCAACGATCGTGTTACTACCGTGCTGCCCAAATGAAGCGTGTAATAAAAAAAAGGAAGAAGCGAAGCAAATGTAACAAGCGGAAAGCGAGAAGAAGAAAAAACGAAAAGCCGGGAGCGTCTCATATAGAATCTGACCTTCTTTGGTAATTCTCTCGTCTGGCGATTTCTATGAAAACTTCACCGGATTTTATATTCTTGAATAACGATATGGCTTCGTTGTGCGTCAGGGATTGTAAAGAATTGCCGTTCACCGAAATAATCTCGTCACCTGAAAAAGTTTGGTGGTGTTACTACATTATGCTCATGGATGTTAGCTAAGTATAACCTTCTTTGAGTATGCCATTTTCAGCGGCCTGTCCTTGCTGGAAGATAGATTTGACGTAAATACCGATAGCGCCGCGGGGAGAGTCAATACCGCCTACTATAGAGAATCCAAGAGACTTCATCCCCGGACCCTTCCTGAACGAGACATTCAAAAATCTATGAGAATTTCTCCTTAGGATGTTTTGCGGTATGGCCACAGCGATGCTACTTCTTCTGGTGGTAAAAGTATCAGCCCCCTGGGAGTGAGAGAACTTTTTCATGCCAGTGATCGGTCTCTCAGCGTTCACCTCCAGAGGCTTCTTGAACACGTTCTCATTGGAGAATGAGACCACAGTCTCCTTGGGGCCTCCGCTAAAACTTTTCGGAAGGCTGTATTTGTTGCTGGCGTTTGTTTGGCCGAAGTCAGGATGGTCATCGGAAGCTGGCGCCTTGTACTTATTAAGCAATGACACATAACTGCTGGAGTGTGCGGGGGATGAGCTACAGCTAGTGGTTTTCGATTTGACCGCTTTAAATCGCGATATGACGATCTCCAGTTCGCCATCCTTTGGTACCATGGACGCACAGGCCACGAAAAACGTAGATCCTCGTAGGCGAGTTCCGTTGACCTTAACAACTTCATCGCCTATAAAAATATTGCCGTTCCTGCAAGAGATCGGTTATTAATATTTGTATGGATGAGCAAGCAACAATTGCGTTTACTTCTCGGCGGCGGAGGACGGCCTGATTTCGGTAACTACGTAGGTTGTCAAAGGGTCTGTAGGGGTTTTCGGAGCAATCACTATTCCTATATCGTATGGGTTAGTCAGCCTTAAGCGAACGCATTTGTATTCCTTCTCAAGAAGTGGCTTGCGTACGATGTCTTTTGACTTTAGAGTAGATGTTGGGTAAGCCGTCGATGGACTTTTGTAATCGATAGTTAACTTGTTCAACATGTCAGTGAATGAATGTGTAACTTCATCCAAACGAACGTCGCTTCGCGCACTGGATTTAGACGTATCCATCGAGGTAGTTTCAGAGTTACCAAATAATAGGTTGCTACGTTTTCTTGACAATGTAGGTTCGAACTCACCGCTCTTCGACCTAGGTCGCTTTAGGCGAGCAGAAGCTCTAGTCACCGGACGCCGCTTTTTAATAGTAGAATATTTAATATCCTCCTTGTCATCGTAATCCTCTTCTGCGGTGTCGGTGTCGTCGTCGTAATGGGTATTTCGTGTCGGGGTGGTTTCGTTCAAAGTCATGCTTCTTTCAGCAGTTGGTCTTTTATCCGGTGTAGGTTTGGAGTTTTCGCTCACTTGCGACTTTATAGAACCTCTTGGAGAATCCATGCCTGTACGCGTTGAGTCACTACCGTAACCGCTCTCGTCCGACTTAATGAGCATAGAAGTCAGTACTGAAGAAATTTCGGACAGTGATAGTGTTTTCCGTGAGGTGAGTATGACATCGTTCAAAGACGTAAGGCTTGTCGCGGATGTTCGCTTCGCGAACTTGACGTCACCCTCGTCATCGGACTTCGATGACGATCGTATGGAGAATATGTTTTTAATAAACTTCCTCCCCTGCTTCGGTGTGTTCCTTTCCTCGTTCAAGATAGACAGCTTTCGGGATTTGTTGGGTGGTCGCATAACTTCGGTATTCAAATCGTTGAGCATGTCCTGGAGTTCCTGCTTGTTCGGCTGCATCAAGGATAGATAGTCCATGAGCTGTTGCTCGGTAAGCTTCAGATCATCAGCAGTAGATTTGGTCTTCTTCTTGTTGCGTAAGGTTCGCTTGCCTGATTCCCTCGCGAAGAATCGGCCATGCGATGGTGACTCGTTGTCGCTCTTTTGATCCGTTTCAGTATCCGAATACTTATCGCCACGGACAAAAAGATTTCGCAGCGATTCCACGCGAGATATCCTCTTGTCCTGAGCTACGGGCGATACCGGATTGCTGTTGGTCTTCGGAGAATGGTGCTTGCGCGTATTCGTAAGGATCTCCGAGGAGTCGCTGCGTTTCAACTTGTCCCATTTCTCGCCAACCCTTTTGCTCCAAGTGGCAAGACCTGTGAATTGATTAAATGCTGATTGAAGGCTTTAAGAAAACGAATAGAGACTCACTAGATTTGGAGACGGGAGACACATCCCTCGCCGAAGACATCGAGGAAGTCATGTCGGTACTGTCCGATAAGGGCGACAGGCTCACTAGTTGTGGATTGGGGTCCGAGCATCGCCGCTTAAACAGCCTCATCATCTTGCCTTGAAACATAGACCAGAAGGAAAAGGATTACTACCACTTGATATGCTTCACGTCATTGTTGCGTCCAATTAAAAGCCATTAGTAAATAAACACCGATGAAGTGCGATGGTGAACGGTCTGCGGAAGGTCAGATTTCATGACCGCTTCTGTAGCGAAAAACCAGTTACAACGACAGCTTGTCTAAGTTCTTCATTTAACGCGTTCAATTACAATAAATAGATACATACACTTACAAATACACATACACAAATTAAATACATTAAAAAAAAAAACAAAAACTAAAATACTTTCCCCCCTCAGTTTCCGCAAAGAGAAAAGGCGACCGCCAAGGACTTTTACGCAATCCCATACACCTGCGAACGCTGTTGCTTTTTCAGGTTGATCAGCTTTACCATTTAAATTTTGCTTGCGTTCAAACGTTATGTAAAATTCCGTATTTCCTCGCCGGCAACGAATCGATCTAAACAAAAACTGGATAGATCAAACTTAAAGAATGATCCAGAAAACTAAATAAATTAAAGAACTCGAGCAAGCAGCGTGCGGCAGCCGTTTGAAAACAGGGTCACTGTGCAAAACCGATCAACAAAATTAAGAGAAAGTGCAATTGATGTAAAAATTATACGTGCATGCACCGCACACAATTCCAAGAATTATCCAATTAGCGAATGTTCACCGGTTGTTTCTGTAATTAAACGACTGCGTAATCTTCCGTGCCATCATTGTATATTACCAGTCGTAGTCACAAATCCTCCTACATTAATCATGTGCCTACACTGTGTACTTTGATTGTAGTTACTCATCAGTTATCGTTCGAAAACTTAATAATATTTGGTGATCATTTGTTGTACCAGAAAACACATGAATCATTTGCTTGAACTAACAAACAAAAAACAAATGCTGAGCTGATAAACAAATGGTTAATTAACGTAATAACAAATACTGCAGGAGTTATAATATTTATTCAGTTAAAAAAAAACTCATGCATTATTCAGTTGATACGTTCTAATTGCATTTTTTTTTTGTTTTATTCTACGATTATTATAATCGTCGCCATTGAGAAATCATTTATGAGAATTACTGAACTAGTAAAGGGCGGATTTTCTTATAATTAGCATTGACTGAATGAATAATTGATAATAATTTATGCAGTATACAATAATGCATTCTAATCAATATTTATTATTTTCATATGTAAAGAAATTGAAATGTTTATATTACAAAACGTATGTCAATTTTTGGATTTAACTATGATTTCCTTGTTCGGGCAGAAATACTTAGGTTGATATCTCTTTGTCCCAAATTAGGATCTATAGTAAATTGTAATAAATAATTGAAATATCTTAAATACATATTAAAAAAAATAGGTATAATTGTTATAAAGGTTTTATCGAGTGGAAAAAGGACCTTGAAGAAGAGTAGGTAGTATTACAGTTTATAAACTCTACTTCGATATAATATTCTCTATATTTAGCCTGCAGCTTCACGCATGACTGGCTTAAATTAATAAAAAGGCTGCAATTCGCAGGTTTGCAATTAACATAAAACAAAAATCAGGTTTATATTTTACTATGCGCAGAAATGTAATGCACTTGCAATCACGTACATTCAATATTTCCGCTAAATGTTTAAGTATATAATTTTCTATATTTTACAATATATAGTTTAATTTTGTTACCTTGAGAGCGCATGTATTATTACGCATATATTTTTTTTTCTGTTGTAATTATAATTATAATAATTAATGCATAAATTGCAATATTATGCCCCAATTAATATAAACGAAAAAAAAATGTAACTAATATTTTTTATATACAAAATTCTATAGAATATGATGAAAATATGACCCATTTTTTGCAGTGTGCACTTATTACGTAAAGCTACAATATATATTATTAGTGATCTATAAAACTATTATTTTTACAAGTAATACATATATAACATATGATTTAATTTAGAAATCGGGGAAATATGAAATTGTTCATAGAGGATATGAATACTATATCAGAAATTTCAAGGTTGTTGATATTATAATAATCATTACAAATTGAGTGACATTTACTGTCAAGAATTATCAATAAAAACATCATAACGCTTTTTATTGAACCTATTTAATAATGAGTTTGTAATAATAAGAAGGTTGGTATAGTCAGCGCTTAATTAACATATATAATGCTCCTTACGCCAAAGAAATGTACGTTAAACGAACGTCGAATTCTCATGAAAATACATTAATTGATATGTTCATACAGATGTATTTCTTTGTTCGCTTAGAGAATGTACGTTAATCGAACGTTCAATTACATTAAAAAAAAACATGAATTGATGGTCTTTTGGTACAGACGTATTTCTTTGTCCGCTAAAGAGATGTACGTTAATCGAACATTGAATTCCCATAAAAATGCGTAAATTTATGATTTGGTACAGAATTACTTCCTTGTTTCAAAGACTAAAAAATACATATTTTTTATATATTTATATATTTACGCTAAGGAAATGTACGTTAAACAAACGTTGAATTCCCATGAAAATACATGAATTTATATATAAATCAGATATATGCAAATCGTAAATAATTAAAAATATATTTTGAAAATCACGAGAAATATCTATAACTTAATTATACAAATAATCCTAATAGCATATTCTTCAAATAATTTACTGAGGCGCCTGCAATTAATATACATTTTGTGTCAACTAATTTCGATGATAACTAGACAATAAGTAATGGCATAGTGCGGATAATCAATATTCCGGACTAATCGAGGAACTAATTACCAACAATAATTGATCAATGCCGTACTATGAGAGGAATTGCTGCAACTATAAAGTAGCCCATTAAAATAATTTCGATTTATTTTTCTTAATACAATTATTTCGAGTAGATAGACTTTCACTTTGTTTGCAAAGAAAGGATTTTGTTATGTAAAGCTACTAACAAATAAATTCTCATAGCTTTGTAATTATTTAGTTCTTCGATTAGTCCGGTTTCAACGGAATTATCCGCACTATACCAGTAATTGTTTTTTAATATATTTATTTTTTTATTTATTAATCGATTTGACTCTGCCAGGTAACATTTGTATCTTAGGTCAATTCGACTTATTAATAGAAATATATTAAAATCAAATATTACATTTACACATTACTTTTTTTCGGAAATATTTTAATAAAGTGAATAAAATATATACTCCCACATTCACTTAAGTATTTCAGTATCCAGATGCGAAAATATTGTTGTTGACTTCAATACAACATAAAAGTTATTTTTAAAATAATAATTACACGATAATATCTAATATAGAAACGTAAAAAATCTCAAATGAAACCATTAAAACAAACACCAAGAAATAAACGCACCACTAGGAGTATAATAAAAAAGTTATTACATAACGGTACAAGAAAACATTAGAGAAGACTCAGAGCTACAGAAAATGAAATGAATAAAATACGAAATGGATACCTTATGTAATAAGACAACTAAAAATAGCAGTTACTAACTAAAAAACTGAGAAAAAAAATACTTTTGTAATTATTGCATTTGTCCAAAGACTTTGTTATAAATTGCACTAACTTTGACTGTTTTTTTTCACATGGTTTAGTCCCTAATTCCCAAAAAATTCAAGCGTGTGCATGTCCTTGACTCGTGCAGACAATATAAAAAGTATGTATATTTGTATTCTCCGATATTTGTATAATAAAATAATACGCCAAGGCCTTTAGTTGAGATTGAATGAGAAGTTATAATCACAGCTTTCTCCAGGAAATATAAAGATATAGGCTTGATTCGCATACAATTGTATTTGCTGTTAATATACCGGAGAGGAGCAAAAGTAAAAACATTTACAATTTTGTGTTTAATCTACAAAGGATTATATAAAACGTTTAAAATACATGCTCGAATCAATACTGGAATACTTAGCAACCGGACTAATCGAGGACTTTAAAGCCGCACAAAAATAAACTTAGTCTTGATTTTGTGTACTCATTTACTTATCAATTAAAAATTAGTTTGTCTTCAAAATTTTGAACCTGGAAAATAATAAAACCGCACTTTGTGAGGTATTGATGTATGAGGCTTCTAAATGTGTGAATAATCTAGTCAGTTTTTTTCTTTCTAAATGATCATTGTCCACTTGGAAAAATAATTCATGAAAAAAAAAACTGAAAATACAAATATTATAGATTTTGAAACGTGTACGTGCTTTCAGGAAACATAATGTACTTTAACATGATGATCTATCATAAATGAATAATGCGATACGCTACTCAAGCAATGACAAATACTGCTTTAGGATATCTATTGAAACATTTAATTATAAAATATAAGATTTTTTGTACAAGTAAAAGAAATATTTCCATTGGTTCACACATGACTTTTATATTAGTGAAAATCTTGTATAATTCATTGCATTGTTGGAAACGGTTACATAAATCATACTGAATCAATTAAACTATTATTACACATGTTTCTTCAAGGCTGAAATGTCGATTGAATGTTTGATAGAAAAATGTACGTTCCAACGAACGTCAAGTAAAGGACGAGACGTTCGTACTAAAACATCGTATTCTGAAAGTACATTTACATATCATACTGATGACTGAGCGTTGATTGATAAAGCAACAAAAATTAAAATCGGATTAAGTACTCTCCGTTTTGTTTGTGTAAAAACTATATCAAATATAAACAAAGGATGAAATAAACAAATGTTGATTGAATTTCATTGTGGGTTTAAAACATTTTTTTTTAATATACGAAATTGTCACGAAACTGACTTAAATCACAGAATCACTGACCGATTAAACACAGCTTAAACATAGAAAACAAGAAACACATGTTCAATTGAACGACTTCCCAATGCGATCAGATCACGTTACATAATTGAGTTGTGGACAGATCGTTAGGTTAATTATTAATTAGCCATGAGGATGAGTTGTATTCGTCGAAAATGTTCGAACTGGATAAAAGCAAGCGATATTAATAATAGATTGCGCGCACAAATTCATGCATGAGTGGGTTAAATTAACAAGCGAGCGGAGTTCGCCTACAACTCTCCTCGTGGATACTGAATAGAATGCCGTTTACTGGTTAGAACAACAAACAAACAAATAAAAATTCATAGACCGCGTAAAAACGTAAGGTCTATAATGGGCGATAAAACGAGGGGGTTAACACTTCGCGGCGTTACGCAATGGCGCTTACCGCACAACACACATTGGTATGGATACAATCAATGGAATTTTAACGTACCGAAAATCATACTTTCTGTTGGAAACTTCGTCGAATTACTGAAAACTTAATGGCCACAGGACAAATGATCAGTTAATATCGACGCCATTGGTTATCCATCGCAATTAGCCATTTCAAATAGTCCAAGCAATCGTGAGTACATGGAATCGACAACAATAATTATCGAGAAACGCAAAGAAAACAGATACATCGATTATTAAACACACACACATGCCCACGTGATTTCGATGGTTTCTGCACAAGTAGGCGAAATTTTGCATTCGTTACTTACTTTCTACGCGTCTTTATTGATGACTGCGTAAAAGGAAAACTAGACGCGTCAGAATTTTCAGAAAGGCTCGATCATCACGATACAATTAAGACTTTCCATTACATAATATAACCTACTCTTCTTCAGCTATGGGTAGCATCATTATGATCAATAACCAAGCAACATTACTGCTTATTTATTAGGAGTTTCAAGTACAGTCGCTTAATTGGGACACATCGAGACGTCCCGTTTAAGCGGCTCATTTATCCAAAGTTCCATTTTCATTTGTTATTTGCTCGATTTTGTTTAAATTCTTTAAAATTTGTCCCTAATAAGCGGATATCCCGATTAAGCGAAATCGACTGTATTTAAAATGATTTTCCTTCATCCAGTTGATCCAGACCAGGTTTTCTGGGTCAAGGACGTTGTCATGTAGGCGATTAAAATGCCGCTGTCTCCGGCGGTTAGCGGATGGAGTTGTGTTGTTTTGTGTTTTCGATCTTTTGTTGATTATATTGATATTCTCGACGAGAGAGTGAAATCAGAAAGCGTTCCGATCATTGCGTTATTTGGTAAAAATGTCACATCTGAACATCTCGGTGAACTAGATACAGAAGTATAGTGATTATGGGCACAAGAAATGGGAGATTTTCACATTGCCTACTTGCTGTTTCCTTTATAAGACGATAGTTTCTCCATAGGCTCAAATAACTACATTTATCAGTCGCACATGTTTATACTGTTACGTAGTTACCAACAAACACAATAGAGATACATTATCTCTTTGGCAAAACTGATTTTCTTTATTAACCAATATTTTGTTTCAATTAATAATGATATTTCAACTAATCAAATTGCACTCTAGAAGAACGGATATGATTTTTCACAATATACAAAATATTCTCATTCACATAACAACTTTTCATTTTAGTACACATCAGTGTCTACTCAAACATATATATCTTATCTGTAGTGAATTTGAACGAATCTACATAAATCTGATGGTAAATTCACATATCTATTAGTTTGTAAAAATCTATACATCATTCAAATTGACACATATATATATAAGAAAAAATATAGTATTCAAATTATAGGTAAATATTTTGTTTCACAGAAATCTGTTTTTGATGATGTCGATGTTACTTTTTTGTTTTGAATAAATCGTAGTTAAACATACGAGACAATCTTGCCGGATGCCATTCTTGACCTTGCAATTTGTCCACCCAAGCATCTTTAGAAAAAAATTGCAATAAAAATCTTACCTATTTTATTGAATTACTAATAAGATATTACATTTAAAGTCGTAATTTCCCATTCGTGTAATTCTGAGAATTTATTTGTTCTGGGAATCCCTATTTTCCATCTGTAGGTGCTTTAATTTCGATATGCGAAGTGAATTTTAAGAACACATCTCTGATGCAAAGTGGGGATTATATATAATTGTGTCAATTTCATATTTCCATCTTCTTTGTCTTTTTTTATCTATTGCAAGAATTTCTACAAAGAAACAATTAAAACACCTATCGCATGCTCGAAATGATTAAAGCACTACTTTTGAGACAAGAAGAACTACAAATATAGTCAGCTCTCACTTAACATACATCCTTTTCAAATACGTTCGATAATACGGACATGAATCGTAAACATACGAATATGTCCCTACGAACGTACAATAAATATATTCATGCATTCTATTTAACATGTAAATAGTAATTTAATATGGTAACAAATAGTTTTAAAAATTTCCCTATTTCATTATTATATGATTAATTAGATATGGTTTTCGATTTTCATAATTCCTTATTACGCAACAAACAAATACCGAACAAACGTTTCTTATTTACCTAGTTATTAAGATTACGCTGTAAATGAACCAGACGTCAATAGACGTTTATAACATCATAATTATCAAGTACAAATATAGAACACTCAAGATTCTTAATATCAATATCATTGTTTGATTTTTGCAAGATTATTGTACTTTAAAGAGTTGATAACGTTACTTAACATTTGTATGATATTATTTTGTTTTGTCTAAAAAATCGTAGCTTTATTATTGTATAATAATTTAAAAACAAATCAGTTGATATATTTTGATTAAAAAAAGATTTTTTAAATTTAAGTTGTAACAATGTAATAATTTATGTTTTCACGTATTCAGTTTAGGGGATTCCCCGAAAAGCCAAGAATGTGTGGACAATATAAAGAGATCTGTTTATTTAAATATTTGTATTGTCCGAACGTCACAAACTGATGAATCCTCAAATTTTATTTAATTGTAATTTTGTTTATAAAGCTTTAGCTTTTGTTGAAAATAATTTAAATAAGCTTGAGTGTAAATAAAAAATCTAAATATTTATACTTATGACAGTAATTTCCAAAATCATAAGTAGATGAGAATACATTACTGTAAGTTGTTGGGTTTTTGCGAATAAGAAATTATAACTTTATAGATTTAATGTTAACTAGACGTTTATTAAAATCAAAAATGTTTGTTTTCATGAAATCATATAGAAAATGTCCCTTGCTGTAATCTAGTAATTATTTTTTTAGTGAGTGAGTTTCCTAAATTCGACCTCTTTCAGTGACGGTAGGTCATGTGGTTTTCTTCCTTCACCATCGAAACGGACTTTCCCACCCACGTTTCTGCATAACATCGCCATGAATGATGATATTGTCTATATATTATTGTTATTAACATTTTTGATATCTCGCAATTGTCGCATCGGATAATTGGTAATAGTGCAACCAAAATGATTCATAAATGAGCAATTCCGTTTCCGCGGTTTGATAATGTTATCAAACATGTACGTATCACAATCGACGCGAGTTTTCATACCATGATATCAATTTTGGTTTTCGACTCTTTTTGAGAAGCTTAACGAGCGTCGCAAAAGTGGAGTTGAATAGCTTTCGAAATCATCGAAAACGCAATGAATGGAATTATAGTAGAGTGGAACGCGATCAATGGGATGTTAAGTTTATGCATATTCGTGCGTGAAGATAATCTATGAATATTTTTTTAAGAAACCGCTTTTTCTCTTATCAAGTCTTTTGATTTCTTCTAAGGTTTTGATAAACGCGTTCAATCAGTGGCCTTTAATATTCCTGAAATATGTACAACTTCTCCCCGTTTGTCCCGATGGACGGTAGACACCCACGGGGTTCTAATTGCAAAAACAAAACGTGATTAATGCGCGAGTAGGAATTGAACCACATCCGAGTCCTACGCACGTCCTTACAAGAGAGATCCCATTAGCGGTTTATTTGTTGCGGTCTTTCCTCGTTTCTGGTCTCTCTTTCTGCCCGCGCTCGGTGTTACGCAAGATTACCTGTAGGTCTTTCGGTTTCGGGATGCAAATTACATCGCGATGTCGGGTCGTCCTTTCTTCGGTCGGCGCGATCGTGATGATTGGTTCCCTGTCGTCCTGCTGATCCTTACTTCCTTCCGTCCAAATGGTGAATGTAAACAGCACAGACGGAACGCACTCGCAAGGAAGAACACACTACTCTCGAGACACCTCGTGCCGAGATCCTTCTTCGACTGGAATTTAATCCGCGACTACGTCCAAACGCTCCATGCGACTTGCTCCCCACTATGTTTACAACGATGATGCTCTTCGCTGTTGTGCGATTCCGAATCCGATTCCAATACCAGCTGGATTATGCTGGGCAGCCGAACCTTCCGACCTTTACCAATCCACGGGTGATGGCAAACAGTGGAAGGGTTCAGGATGGTCACATATTATTTCGGGACTCGACCGGCCCAATGTCTAGTTACGCAACGCGTCTTCGCGCAGGGTTACCCTTCTATACTACCGTTAAAATCATTACCTTTCGAATAGACATTGTCGTAACGAGAAACTAATACTAATTACCCCGACCATTTCTGTTGCCTTAATTGAACCGTATCCTAGGTTGGACTACTATAACCTGATCTACATAAGGAATTTGTAACATATAGAAAATAACATCATTTCCTATTATTTTTTTTATATTTCAGTATAAACTAAAAAATAGTTGATTTCAAAAATCGTCAACCATACTTAAATTTAATATTAGTCTTCCTATATTTTCTAATATTTTTTACTGATAAACATATGCAACTGTTGCAATAAATATTATAATAATTGTATAGAAACTATATTATAATAAGATATTATTTGCATTGTATAAGAAATAATCACCTTCGAACATTTTTCTGCGAATCAATAAGCTTTCTTCTCGGCCGTAGGCGCACTTTTTTTTTTTGTAATGACACCAGTTTTTGTAAATGTGTGGTAATTAGGTTTGCATTGTGCAATAACAATTAATTTTCACTGTATATGAATGGACGAGGAATCATTTCCTGGAAAATACGTTTTTACAAATCGTTAAGTTACTTTCACCATATTTTGTAAGTACTATATAGTAATTATAGCTATACTATACTTGCTTTAAATGACATCCGCTGTAATGACAACTTTAATATACTGCCAAAATTTCGAAATTTTCTAATAATCAACTACACAAGTAATCTAATTATAACATTACTACAATTAGTAACAATTTTGCATTTTAAATGTTGTATTAAGATTATCTCAACTTAATTTATTTTGTATACAGTTTTAAACATTTGCAAATCTAAAGCAATTAGATTAATATTACTTTTTATTATGTATGAAATAAATTAAAAGCTTTTGTTAAAACACTTGACCTAAGGTTAAAAAAAAGTGTAAAGTAATACAAAAAATAGAGAATGTCAGGGAAATGTATAGGAGATATTAATTTGTGTAATAAATTAATAATATTAAAATTTAATTAATAATTTATAAAAAATAAATGTATATTAATTAATTGAAATTACAATGTCAGTGTTTCTCAACTTTTTTTGTGGAGCGATCCAATTTATTAGTTTTATAGTTGTACTTCGACCCAATTGGTAAGAGTTTTTTTTTTACTTATTGCTCATACTACCTACTGTCAAAGGTGAAAGATGTCATTAAAAAATTAAAGCTTCCCAATTTTAGTTCGTGACCCACAAGTTAAAGGAAAGCT